ACGAGGAGAGACTAGAGAAACTGGATCTATTCAGCCTCTGCAAGAGAAGGTTGAGAGGCGACCTTGTGGCTGCCTATAAGTTCATCATGGGGGCACAGAAGGGAATTGGTGAGGTTTTACTCACCAAGGTGCCCCTGGGGGTTATAAGAAATAACGGCCACAAGCTAGCAGAGAGCAGATTTAGACTAGACATTAGGAAGAACTTCTTCACAGTTAGAGTGGCCAAGGTCTGGAACGGGCTCCCAAGGGAGGTGGTGCTCTCCCCTACCCTGGGGGTCTTCAAGAGGAGGTTAGATAGGCATCTAGCTGGGGTCATCTAAACCCAGCACTGTTTATGCAGGGGGTCGGACTCGATGATCTATTGAGGTCCCTTCCGACCCTAGCATCTATGAATCTATGAATTCAAAGCCCTCCATGCAGCATGGGGCAGTGGGGGGGCAGCAGGGATCGCCCCCTGCCCAGCAGCACCCGGTGAGTTGGGGCTTTTTTTTCCCAAAGTGCCGGGAGCTGACGTGGGTGGGGCAGCCATGGTGGGGCTGGGAGAGTGGGCGGGAGATGGGCCTGGCTGATTTGGAGATTCGGCTGAATCAATTCAGGACAGTGATTCAAATCACCGAATCAAATCACTGTTCCCTGAATCAGCCGAATCCAAAGCGAATACTAGCCACTTTGCACAGACCTAGTAGGTATACATGCTAACATGTGCCCATGCTGATAGATATGGTGATATACATTTCAAGGTTAAACACCGGTATACAACATATATATATATAAACACCAATGGTTCTCAACCTTTTAGACTCAAGGCACCTCTCATTAGAGTTAAGGCACCCTTTGTGAGACTTGAGGCACCCCTCAGAAACAGCTCTCAGTTTTCATTCAACTGTGGAAAAATAATGGAGCAATTTTTCTGTTGCATAGATCTCAGAAACATTACAAGTCAGAATGTTTTTGCTACTATTTATTCCTGTTTGAAATATCTGGATTCATCATTTGAATTGCTTGTAGGCATTTGCACCCCATGTCACCCTTAAAAGGATTTCACAGCTCCCCAGGGTGGTACAACACCATAGTCAAGAATCACTGATCTAAGCCCACAGGCATGTTGTTTGCACATACTGGGGACATCAACATGTACGTTTTACTGAGTGGACTAATTATCTCCGCAGTAAAGTATCTCCATCTGCACATGCGGTGCTAGTAGCTCAGAGTAAACTAATTAACTCTGCTGTAGGATAGTACTGCAATGTATGGCTAGACCAGGGGCAGGCAAAATCCGGCCGAAGGGGCCGGATCTGGCTGGCAGTGGACTCCAATTCCCAGCAGTCCCTGCCCACATGGCTGAGACCGGTTTCCATGGAGACCGCAGCAGCAGCTGCGCTGTGACAGAGCAAGGCGGTGGTTTCCATGAAGACCAGCCCCAGCAGCACTTGAAAGGCGTGTGACAGGGCAGGGAGCTGCTCTGGAGCCTCTGGGATCATGCGGCGGTGACAGCATGGTCTGGAGCCAGGGCAGAGCCATGATCTGCAGCCTGCATGCTCCAGGCAGGGGCATGCAGGCTGCAGATTGTGGCTCTGCGCTGGCTCCTTGCAGCGGTGACAGAGTAGTCCAGAGCCAGGCCCCTGCGCAGAGCATGCAGGCTGTAGATCATGGCTCTGCTCTGGTTACCAACCATCCTGTCACCTCCACAAGACCCCAGCAGCTCCGGAGCAGCTCCCCGCCATGCCATGCGCCCTGCCAGCACTGCTGGGGCCGGCCTCCATGGGACCCCTAGCCTTGCACTACCACAGCACAGCTGCTGCTGGGGTCTCCATGGAAACTGGCCCCAGCCATGTGGGCAGGGGCTGTTGAGAAATAGAATCCGGCCACTGGCTGGATCTGCCATTTTGCCACTTTTGGGGTAGATGGTGACTGGGGCTGACTGGGGCATGGGGGTGCTACAGTGCAGAGGCTGCCTGCTGGCTGGTCCCGCACTGTAGCACCTTGTGCCCGAGCCAGGTGCTCCGCAGCACATGGAGCAGGGTCGGAGCAGCTCCAGGCTGGCCA